CGTTATAAAGGGATTAATTAGCTTCTAGAAGCATAAGAGATTGTGTCTTTGTTACCTGACTAGCCAGAATCTGGTTCTCTTCTATCAGCAACTTCTCCTGTTTGTGTAAGATCACAAATTCATTAGTTTCTGACAAATTCTAAACCGAAACTTATTACATCCTCATCGCATTTCGGTGATTTATCAAGGGGAGGGGAGGGGGAGTCGAATTTGATCAAAAGTTTAGCACTGCTTTTTTTTCTTCTCCTAATTAGGGTTTCATTTGAATGAAGCCAAACACAAATCACTCACTATAACAAGACCAAAAGACATATCTAGAGAGCTAAACTTAGTTTAGTGATCTGCATACTCGGAGTTTAAGAGAATTCAAAAATCAGCATAGCCTACAATGGCAACTAACCCTTTCTTGAAGGGTTTTCACAAGCTCCATCATAAGTTCTGTCTGCAGCAAGACATTGAGGATTACGTTAAATTGGAAACTATACAGAAGATTTTATGGAGTAATTGGCTAAATCACTTAACAGTAGCAGCATATATACCTTCCTAGCTCTGGTTACAGGCAGAGCAGTCTCCAGCTGCTCCTCCACCGAAATTAGAGAATCTACACTTACATTACCAGCATTCGGTTCTTCAAAGTTGCTGCATATTCAAAATTGAACCAAAAAAAAAAAAAACGTTTTCGATCAGAAGAAGAGGTGAATAAGGTGACTTAGCGCTAACCTTTGGGCTAATTCTAGTAACTCCTTGTGTGGAAGATAATTCAGAGTTTTTTCCGCAAGATCCTGCACATGAAAAAAAGGATGGGAATGGTCTTTTCCAAGATAGGCAATAACTGCTACTCTAGAGAATACAGATAGGTATGACAAGTTCATCAAAACATTGAGTTGTTTCAGGCTCGACCAGCGCTTCCATCTCTTCATAACATCGAAACCGCATCAAGAAAAATTTATTCTTAGCTAACTTACTAAGGCTTTAAGTTCATCAGCATGTTGTATTTCATAACGATTGATGATCTTGGTCATGCTGGAGATATCAAGAACAAAAAAAAAATGCATCAGAATGACAATTTATGCAAAACAATTTCAAAACTATGATTTGGCATAGCATTAATAGATACCTTTATAGAGAGAACGAACCAGAGAGAAAGACTACTTGTATATATAGTTGTTACATGTTGCATCGATTGTGTAACTAACCAACAGTGTTTGTTAACTTTACCTAACTAGGC